CCCCCCCTGCATTCACAGCCCTTGGATAACTGCTTCCTGACAGAACAACATTAATTCTAAACGTGAGTTCCTCATAATGGCTCTGTCTACTTGTCAGACCCTGGGCTGTGTGTATGTGATTATAAAATCACTTCTCCACACATGAGATAAATTCCAGTGCCTTCCGCCACCACCTCCCCCCCGTGCCCTCTCCTTCATTCTCTCCTCTGTCTGTCTCTCTCTCTTCGTGACGGGTCTCTCCCTTGCTCACGCCCCCTCTCTGCTAGAGGTCCTGATTGATGGAGAGACTCTGCCCTTGTCTCAGGAGCAGTCAGCACCGGCTGCTCCGTGTCCGGTCGGGCTGTTTAATTACAGGCTGGGATTAACGAGCTGTATTGATGGATGGAGTGGCTGTTTCGGGCTTGCAGAGAGACAGTGCTTTAACTGCTTTGCCTTCCTTTGGCTCGTGTGTCTGCGTTCGAGAAGGTTTGCTGCAATTGTGCGTGTGGACTATGGCAATACACCCCCAAGTCTTACGGCAAATATATAGAGCTAATTAACGATATCCTTTGTCAGTTCTTTTACTTTTCCTATATTTACTTTAGCTGAAACGCATGGGTTTGTCACAGTCTGGTGTGGAAACACAAAGGAACCTGATGTGAACATGTAATTATGTTAAAGATATGTTCATTTGAAGTGAGGGGTCAGAAAGCCCTTTAAAGGGTGTGATCTAAGGGAAACTGGTAATTCCAGTTAGCCCCCCCAGAAATTAGCACCTGGTTTCTAACGATCTGATCTGGTATGTATTGGTATGAGCTGTTCATTGATTAACTTCTGCTAGGCAAAAGGTTACCAGTAGAATGAAACCCGGCTCTTTGAAAGTGATGCGCTCATAAACTGACCTCTGCTGGGTTTTGAAACATACTGGCAGGCACTGTAGATACCAACTGAGCCTTTTCTGTTTCCTGGAATTTCCATTAAGGAATCTTTTCATTTGAGCAATGTGTCTATTGAAATAACTTTCGACTGGTTAGTCTGTTTAGGGCAGCATACAAGCTGCTCACTCTAAATATTTTCCAAAAAAGTGCCACAGCCTAAAAACTCCTTCCTGTTTGTTTCATGCACCCTCCTAGGAAGGCTTCCTGTTGGGCTGTCTTAGTTAATAATTCTGAAAGCCCACACAGAAGCAGGGCTTATAGGCACTGTTCTTGAATTAAAGCTTTCTTAAACCATTTACAGGTACAGGTCATTAAAGACATATTCTGACTCCACTGTTTATTTTATTATTTTTTCTGGAAGCGTTGGATGATCTGGTAACTCCGAAGTACTTCGACTCCTTAAAAAGGAAACTAACAGGGGAGTCCGAAAAGGTTTCTAAGACATTCTTCTCCCTAACATGCTGCCTTCTCAAAGACACCTCTTAACTGTTTCCTTGGGTGAAGAGGCAGTAAGAACAGATCAGAAACAAGTTCGGCCCATCTAACCTGTTAAGTATATCGTAGCTGAATTGAACTAACAATCTCATGCAGGCATTTCTTGAAAGACGCCAGGGTTTCAGTTTTAACAACAGGGCTGGGCGGCTTGTTCCATGCTCCCACCACCCTTTGGGTATGAGATAAGATAAATTCATTACCATATTCAATTTCTTGCATCAGGGATTTGTCTTTCTTACATACCCCAGCTTGCTCTCCATAAGACACAGACAGGGAGAGAAGCTGGGGGTCAGAGCACAGGGTCAACTATTTATACAGCACCCCTGGACCAGTTGGGGTTAAGGGCCTTGCTCAGGGGCCCAACAGAGTAGGATTCCTCTGCCAGGCGTGGGATTTGAACCAGCAACCTTCCATCCACAGGCGCAGATCCTGAGCCACAGAGCCACCGCTCCTTAATACACCCCCCTGTTGTTTCCACCTGTGCCCTCCAGTTTGTGCTTCACTCTTCGGTCCCAGCGATTACAATTATCATTCTATCAGATGTGGCGG